GGGGTGTGGATAGGGGATGGGGCAGTCAGGGGACAGGGAGCAGGGGGGGTTAGATGGGGCACAGGGTCCTGGGGGGCGGCTAGGGGCGTGGGTCCTGCGAGTGGCCGGTCAGGGGACAAGGGGTAGGGGGTTGGATGAGTGGGGGGTTCTGAGGGGGGCAGTTGGGGCGGAAAGTGGGAGGGGTCAGATAGGGGGCCGGGGCCAGGCTATTTGGGGGGCACAGCCCTCCCTACCAAGCCCTCCATACAGTTTTGCACCCTGATGTGGCTCTCAGGCCAAAAAGTTTGCCCACCCCTGACCTAGCGCCTTCAGGGATCCCAATCTCTGCAGGCTCAAGATGTGGGGAAGGTCCTGATCCTGGTGAGGTAGAGCAGAGATCTGGACTAGGACTGTGAGGAGCAGGAAAAGGAGGAGGATGGGCCCCTGCCTTCGGGAGAGGTGATCCTGTTGCAAAATGGCTCCTGCTTGGGGATGTCCCCCCTCCCTGGCTGATGAGTGAGTGAGCAGGTATTGACAGTGGGGCTGCAGGGGGCTCCCTGCACAGCCCTGGGACCAAAGACAGCAGTGTGGTCTTCCCCCCCCCTCCCCCAGCCAGGTGATCCTGGCTTTGTTCCACCAGGATTGTGGTCTTCTCCCATCTTACTTTGTGCCTGCAGGAATTGGGTGTCACTGCCTGCAGGAAACCCCCAGCAGTACCCACTGTCCCAGTGCTGCTCACTCACTCATGGTTGGGAGTGTGGGAGTCATACTGCAACAGGGTGGCCTCCTCCGTAGCTGTGGCTTGCCCTCCTTTTAATCCTGGGGGGGTGGGGGTGGGGTGTCGCTACTCTGCTATGGTCTGCCCAGCCAAGATCTCAGCTTTTTCTGCATCTTGCACCTGCAGGGACTGGATGTCATTAAAGAATTATTGTCTGACCCCTCCCCACCACCTTGATTTCCCCCAACTCTGAAAATTCAAGTAGATAAAAATAAAGTAAACAAAGCCCCATAATTTCATTCAACTGAGAAAATTAAAATAAATAAAAATCGATATTATCCATTAAAATAACAAAAACAAATATTGAATTCTGCCAAGCCTAAATATAACTAGGGTACAAAGCTTGTCTAGCAATAATATTTTACAACTGTGTAGGTTTATGGTAATTATCAATGGTTAACCTGTAGAAAATTTGAGTTAAAAGGAACATGTTCACATTAACAGTAGTGTACTTGATCTTAAAAAGTAAATGTCACAAGACTGAGAATCTCTCCTTATCACTTCAGCAAAAATTTAGAGGAACTTACGGTGTGTATGAGTTGTAGAAATAACCATGCTAAAAAAACATGCTAACCCTTCTCTTTTTCTATTTATTGTCCATTCCACAAAATTACTTTAGCAGAGTGGACATAAATTTTATGGCTATTTGAGACATTCAGCAAATATTAATCAATTTATTTGTTTCATTATTTTGCAGATAACTTCAGTATTCAACAAATCATCTTTTGTAGTGTGCTTACCTCTATTTCACCCCTCACTCTAGCATTCTAATCAATAAAAATTAGGATAACTTTCTGATAGGCTTAGGGCCAAATTCTATTTTAGGGTATGTAACCACTGAGTTAAATGGAAATATGTGCAAATAAAACTTTTATGCCACACTACATTATTACAGGTGGAACTGCCTACTGTTAAGGTTGCCCAACACTTCCTATTATAAAAATATATGATCGTGTAATGAAAAGCTATATCCTAATGAATACAGACAGTGGAGTCAAATTAAGGTTGAACAGGCAGCCTTAATTCTGGCATTTCCTAACTTCTGAGTGCTTGATTTTGCAACCTTAATAAAGTTCTTTTGACCTAGTGCTTGTGATTTATTTATATATATAATTGATATATTTTATATGTATTTATATATCCTTATCAGTATCTACATATAAAAATATCAGCCAACATAATGGTAAAATATCATAATTCTGAACTCTCAATTTGGTAAAAATTAAACACGATGTATTAGGTCTTCAAATCCATATGTGGAGTCTATGTAGTAACAGAAGTCATCCTGGATCATCTAATAAGTTTTACTATTTTTCAATATATATTTTCTCTTTTTTTCACCTTTAGTGCTCTTAATGGTAGGCTGTTTGAGTTGCTTGCTGCGGAAATAGGGAGCAGTTGTTCCCTCCTCCAGTAATTGAGGTTTAACAAAAGTATTTGAGAAAGGAAACACGTTTTTTAGGTATAATCATATATAGCGGTAGCTCAGAGAGCAAAACCACAGTAGGAAGTCAACATAAAATCTATGAGCAGCAAAGAGAAATTAAGAAGTTTTTCAGTACACAATAAAGAGAGATGCTCAGAAATCTTTCAGAACCTGCAGAAATATATTTTCTCCATTTTGCCCTTATTCTAAGTACTGTATCTCTGTGTGTGTGTATACATATAAAATTAGACAGTCACTGCATCCGAAGAGATAGCAATCTAGAAACCACAACAAGAAGTTAAAAAAATTACTTCTGTTGAACAGACAGAAGCTGACAATAAGGTTAAAGCATATTATCTGGATACCCATCAAACAAAATTAAATTTTGTTGTGAGGTGCAATTCCATGTTACAAAATAAATTTTCTTTACTACTTTCATTTTATACCATTTTTATGGAAGTCAACATTAATCTAAAAACTGAACCTTCTCATCTGAACAAGTCAACAACAATACCCCCAGGTCATTTTCAAAGGTAGTTGTCTAAAGTTAAGCACCAAAACCCATAATTAGGCACCTAAATCAATAATCTGATTTTCATAGGTATGGAACCCTCCAGCTCCCTTTTGACCTTAAAATAATTACAATAAAATGTCTACCAGTTTGTGCTTTCTTGTGTAGGAAGGCTTGTGATATTCTTTGTAATCTAAACCAAAAATTACATATAAGGGGAAAATAATAAGATAAATGTATAACCAATAGGCACTGTGAAATGTTTTTTGAAATGTATCATTTAATTTTGTTTAATATGATGGCGTAGAGCATAGCTGGGAATGGTAGTCAGTTTTTATATATTATGCCATTTCTTGAGGGATCATAAATGCCTATAATAAACTAATTTGGAAAATCCAGACATGAACTGATGTGTGCGTGCACTTGCAAACTTTTGAGACTTCCAGACTTTCTAGACTTAGACTGACTGTTAGAAACCAGTCAGTCTTTCTGTGTATTTGAGGAAAAAGATCGGAAGAAAATTATCTGCTTGTCATGCAGATACAATTATTTTTGTCAATTTTTTATTTTTATTTAAAGAAAAATACTTACATAATGTATTTCTTTCCAACCCCATGAAATATTCTGTCAGTTTCTTAATAAATTCCATTTTTTAATGTAGTCGATAAACATTTTCAATAACTTACGTTATTCCATGCTTGCTTAAATGTGCTGAAATCTTGAGCTCTTTGTATTCCCAGGCAGACTGCTGCCGTAAAACTTGCCTAGTTTCAGTTTTGTAATATTTCTGTAGCAAGTGCTGTATGTTTACAACACTAAAAATTTCCATTTTTTAAACTAGATAAATCAGATAAATATGATTCCAGAGATGTGGAAAGATTGCAGCAAGATGATAATTGGATTGAAAATTATTTAATTTGGCGTCATGATGTTGTGGATGATACACTGAAGATGATTGATGAAAGCTTTCAGTGGAGGAAAGAATACATGGTCAACGGTAAGATGTCATTTACTGCTAATTAATATGTTGGTGATGTATGTCAGTTTCTCACTGAACTATACCTAAGGCCCTATATACCGTTTCATTAAGTACCAATGCAAATGGCTATATAAATTCTTCTTTGTCAAGTTGACCTATCAATCGCTAGTTGTGCTTTATAATTTGGTGTGGCTGGGTTGTGGGCAGTGGAGTTATGCAATAGCCTACTGGGTCAAAGATAATTTGGAATTTGAAGGGGTTGGGGAGTTTGCTGGACTTCAATTCTTTGTGTGTTCCTCAGGTGCAAACCTCTACGGGAATAAAAGTTCTCCTCCTCTGGTCTGAAAATTATTCAGGAGAAGGTGGTCCATAGCTGGGAAGATGCATGCCCTGCAGGGATCATAAGCTAATAATTCATTAGCTCCTCTACTACTGAGAGGAAAGCAGAATCTTTTCAGTTTAGTAAAAACTAATTAAACCTGTGAAATGTGATCATTGCAGTTATTACTGTAGTGTCCAGAGGCTCCAATCAAAACAGGGTCCCATTGTGCTTTGTGCTGTATAAACACACACAAAGACAGCGCCTGCCCCAAATAGCATACAGTCTAAATTAAGAAAAGTTGCAACAAGTGGGTGCAACAGAGTGGGGATGCAGGAGGGAGGCCAATGCTAACAAAATATTTGTAGGTCTTTTTTCCTCCAGCCATCTATATCTACTTTGTTTTCTTCTCTCTTCCCACACAGATGCTAACCTTTTTCTAGCTTAGTTTAAAACAAAAAAGAGGAAAAAATATTAGTTTGCAAATAGGTTTATTTTACAATTCATTTATCTCACACATATGAAGATTATTTTGAATATGAAGTTTCTTATTCTGTTTTAAGATTAAATGGTATTTTGTAGTGACTTTTAAACAGCAAAAATAAGGATGCCTGTTTGCTTTGCAGATTTGTCTGAAGCTGCCCTTCCAAAATGGTTATTTGAAAATGGTGCTCTTTACCTGCATGGATATGATAAAGAGGGCTACAAGTTATGTAAGTTACATGCACTCTTCTTTTTTCAGTTATCTATTAGTGTGTTCATATTGGAGACTGCTAAAATGTTGGAAGTAATTACTTATCAGGAACTACCTTTGTGGAAATAAATGAGGAAATCAAGTGAATTTTCAATGAATATCTGACATAGATCATGGGCAAATGGTTACATTTCATTTTTCATCATGTATTATTAAGGCCTTTAGCCATGCTCGTTGAGTCCAAGAGTCTTTTACTAGAGAGGAAAAATCTTTAGTATTCATATTTTGTAGCTTGAAATTCAGGTTTCTCATTGTAGTGTTCATGATCCCCAAAAGCTCATTGTTAAGGTTACATTCAGTTTTCCTTCATAAACTTTACCTCTCATCCCAGTTTTGTAGTGCAGTTATAAAGTGTTCCATTAAAATGCAATGTTTTTATCTCTTTTGCGGCAAATATATAGCCATCTACAGGACAGCATATTGTCATTGCAATCACTTGGTACAGTTGTAACACACCATGCTTACACATACTTGAACTGGTGCACAAGTTTTCACATCACTGTTTGAATTGAACTTGTTCTGAGAAAGGCCTTGGCCCTCCATTGCTATTTACTGCCCCTATGCAGTAACAGTATAGGCAACAAGCACTGGCATTACAGATGCAATGGTGTAATTAGTTTTCCCTGTTTAATCCTCCAGTTCTCCTGACCATCTTTCCAGGTTACCTTTGACAGCCCAGAGAACTGGCTGTCGTATGGCAAATCCCTTGGTTACCAGCTGCATGCAGGCCCAAAAATGCTCAAAGTACTGTAGTATCCACTCAGGTCTCAGATTTGCCTACCTCCTCCTGCCTCCCCCTCCCCAATCTCATTGAACGTAGCAGCACTTGAAGAGGTATGAACCACTCCTCCTCAACTTGTTTCAAAATAATAAAATAGAAAAGAGGTGGGCGGGGAGGGGGAAACAATTTTTTGTGCTTAATAATAGCACTTAAATTATCCCAGTTACCCATTGAAAAAAGTCAAATTACAAAGGTGATGTGTGAGGTCCCTTTGTTTGCTCCTATTGTTGTATGTTTGGAAACAACTTTCTATTTATTTAGGTTAGGATGTCTGTATCTTTGCAGTGGAAAAAGATAGAGACTTCATTTAAATGAAAATACAGAATTTTCAAAATGTAGAATATAGCAAAAAAAATGCAGTGAGACCTGATTGAAAATAGCAGATGAGCTTTTCTTGTCTCCTCTCTCCCATGTGTGTTGGGGACTTTTTGCAGGGTCAGTTTATTTCAGAAGTGTGTGTATCTCTATGTAAATGTAATTCTAAAAATCTACTTCATCTTTCTGTTCATGTCAGAGTTACCTAATGACAACAGACAGTGAGAATGTTCAATGTTGTCATACGGACGTGGAATTTTATTACTCTGTGAATCCCACAGATCTCCCACTTCCTCCCGAAAAGGTGTCCAGTGAGCATGCTCAGAAAGTATTTTGTAGTTAGTTAGGCTTTATTTCCCCCCAAATCAAATGTAGACACTAGTTCTTAGTAAGTGTTCTAAGGTGGATTGATTTAAATCATCCATTTCAATCAATTTTTCCATTTGTACTTCAGTTTTTTTCTAAAGAAAGATGCTTCTCATTGGTTGATTGTAACATATTGATTCACAATTAAATAAAGCCATTACACCAAATTTGGTGCACCTTTTTGCTACCTAGCAGGTACCCTATAACTATGTATATTTATTTAAGCAATTTATAGCTCAATATTTTCAGGTTCTTATTGTTCATTCTCCATATGTTAGCAATTGATGCATGTTATATTGCTTATTTGCTAGATAATTACCTTTTTGCTCATGATTTGTATCAAGTTGTGTTAGGATTGTAACTGGAATTTAAACAAACACACAATAGTATATTAATCTTCTATTTAAATGTTTTAAGATATTATAAGTATAGGCTTTAACATATTTTGTGTTAAATTCAGATTTCATTTTAAAGTGGTTTATTTTTTGAAAGAAAAACTTAGTGTAATTTAAATACAAAAAAAATCATAGGTTTTTATCCACCCTGAAGGGTTCTATCCATGCCAAGATGAAAATTTTAAGAACTGTTGGCAGTTTGCTTCAGAGGCGTGAGCCAAGTTTGGGAGTCAAGAAGTTCTAATTTTGATGCTTGCACTAAAATGAAAGAATAAAGAATGCCTCGCAACCTTAACAATAGTGACTGTATCCAGAATCTGGTAAAATTAGTTTTTAGTGTCTGTATGACTATAGACTTTATTCAGGAAACAAATCACGATAGATGCAGGCTTTGTGTAGAAGCATTTGGGGGGAGAGAGAGAGAATGTGTGTGCATTTGTTATTCACTACTGCTAGCATTCAACTAAAAAAAATCTATATTTTCCCTTTTGTTCTTGTATACCTTGTGTTCTGTATGAAAACACCAGAGTCAAAAATATCATTATTTTACCACTGTTTCTATAAGAACAGCTGTGAAATGGCTGACAATATAGAAACTGTACATAGCTGTATCGAGGAGTTGGTGGATTTTGTCAGAGGTCACTTAACACTTACCACTAATATGATTCTGGTATTCTGATAAGTTGTTGAAGTTTTTTATATACATATATGTTTTCTTTGTAGTCTGGTTCAGGGTGAAGTTTCATACAAAAGATCCCAAACTGCAGTTTGAAAAAAAGAAGTTTGTAGCCTTTTGGTTAGAGCATTATGCCAGAAGAGAGCATGGGAAGCCTTTAACAGTGGTGTTTGACATGGCTGAAACTGGAGTCAGTCACATAGTAAGCATTTTTAATTATGATTTCTGTTGAGACTGTATAGCTTAATCGAGCCGGTCTTGTGCAGCACATTAGATCTAAATTATACAGCAAAAGTCCTAGAATCTTGATCTCATAATTGCCCCCTTCTCCCAGGCAGTCATGGCAGGTGGCTTTTACGCAGCCTGGTGGCAACTAAGGCTTTTTGTTATGTATTTTCTCTTCCCCTTTTGAACTGAGGCAAAGGTTACTTCATTTACTGGGCGGAGGAAGAGTTACCACAGTTGCACTTAACAGCAACTGTCTACCCTACTATACCCTGACTCACTATCTGCCACTGCATCCAAAAATGCCAAATTAGTATGTTAGATTGTTAGTATTTTTGTTTCCTGCAATGAAATGGCACCCACTTACAGCAGTTGTGAATTTGACCAATACAGCCTGCCTCTAGTTACTGACATCAGTCTGTAACTTTCAAGAGCCCCAAATTCACAAAATTATATTTACTAAAGGAGGGGGCTAAAACACACTTAATGTAGAGCCTCTATTTGTAGAGTAGGAATATAAATGTGGCAAAGTATAGATGTTGGGTGTTCTGTAATTTGTTTATGGCTGTGATCTAAAGCTTCAAGTCCATAATGTTTTTTGCATTATACTGAAATGACTATCTATTTCAAGATGAAAATCATGAATTTCATTAGAAGTTTTTTCATTTTAAAAGGTTGTTCTCCGATAATGTGTATTTCCAACTCAATCTTCAGGATTTCAATTTGCAAAGCTACAATGACTAGTTATAAATGATATTTCTTCTCTTGCATCCTCTGCATATTCCCACCAATGGGGTGTGACAGCGGGGGCAGCCTAGAAGTCGGAACCTTCTTGTAGCAGTATGCATTAGAGGGCTCGTGTGTTCCTCCTGCCCTTTCCCTCAGCATTCCTGAACGTTCCGAGGGGGCGTTTTGCTCGTTGCTGCCTCAGTTCCTTCCAACCACAGCAGCAGACAGATGTGAACGGATACAGTTCCCTTCCACTAAAAAAGATTTAGTGCCTTTAGGGATAGTTTTACTATTAGGTATGGTTCGGATCTATTATAAGTTTAGATTGTTCGTTTAGGATAAATTTTGTTTTATACTTAAATCTTCTATTCCAACTACTGGTTGCATGCAGATCCAAATCTGAAAAGATCAGGTTTTAAAATGTATACATCATTTGCAATGGTCTTCGTGGCATCGGATTGCTTGCACTCAATTCCTAGCATGCCTGGGTGAGCTTCACTCTCCTTTAAGATGTACGAACTGCAGCACCTTTACCCCATGAGCAAGAAAGAAATGTCAGAATAGGCTACAAGCCTTATTGTTACGAGCAGCTCTGGCTGCAACTCCTGTCTGTTCAAACTCTTCTGAAGGGTCTGAGACTAAGAACAGGAGGCCAGTGTCAACTCTAGATACTTGCAGATCTAGGCAGAAAACAGTTCAGCACAAGACACAAAACTCCTGATCCAAAGCGATCATGTTGTTGATACCAAAATCAGCAGATCCAACATCTACATACTTACTACCTCCACTGGTGGTGGCCTTGTACATAAGAGCCAAACCATGTGAGCACATCAGATCTGAATACCCTGGCTCCATTGCATGTGACAAAGCTGGAGATTCTTCACATCTCTTGGAGCAGGATCAAATCTAATAGATACACATGTAATGAGTAAAAGCTCTCAGGATAATTTTTGCCCATTCCTTGCTTCAGACGGTTCCATCGGATTTGAAGAAGCTTTTGGAACCATTGTTGTCAGTTTGTCTGGGTCCTTTGGTCACGCTTGTGAAGCAAGTGCACGTGGAGAAAGAAGAGGAAGACTCCTGTGAGTCACCCTCTTCCTTCGCTGTCCATACAGAAGAATATCCTGCTATAGGGCTGGATATTTATCTGAAGAGGAAGCCGCCTGTGGTACAAATGGAATATCAGTAGCTAGACCCAGAATTTGATTAATTCTTCTCCTGATGAGAATGTCGGTATAGCTTGCAGGTTTTCCTAAATAGAATGGTCACTACGTTAAAGCTCTTGTCAGTTATCTTAGAGGAGACTTTTCACCAAGTCTTTGATATTCTCAGCTCTAACTCTGAGTAAAGTCTCTGTGCCAATTTTAGATGGTCTCTGGCAACCAGCAGAATCTATCTGATCTAATCGTGCTTCTTGTCAACTGCTCTCAAAAATGCTGATAAGCTATATCAAATTCCATATGAAAGATTATCTTGCTTCCATATTCTTCCTACTCATAATTTATTGGTAGTAGTTGCAGTGACCAACAGGTCAAGAGGTGGACATTTTGCATTCTACGGCCTCTGACAAGGAAGGCAGGAATTTGGAGTTGGTGGGGAGGAAAATGATTTCTTCTTTCCTCACCCTCAGGAGGAGAGTGGCAAATTACTAGGCAGTGACGTTGCGGTATCAACATTTTGTCCCATAAGTGGTACTGTTTGCAAAGACACTTTCTGAAGACCAGTGCAATATAGTAATTACATTAATACAGATGGATGGAGGGTAGTTAACACACAGTATCCTTTGATGTTTTTGACTTGGTTGTAAGATCGATTGCAGTAGCAATCACATGGTTATGATCTTCCATTGTCCCGCCAGAGACAAAATCTAAAATAGTTCATCTGTTTTGAAGGAGATGGCCTGTTTAATAATAGGAAAGATAAAAATTTGGAGAGAATGAAGGATAAGAATCTTACAACCAAGATCAGTGTGTCTTTTTCAGTCTTGGAGGAAGAATACCATGACCTGTGTTCAGGTACAATTGAAAGCTTTATACACCATCCTCCTTGTCCTCTTAGGCTCAGAGACATCACTCATGCCATCACAAAGCTTCCTTCGCCAACGTCTGCTGAATGTCAAGCCTGAAGTTTGATAGGAGGATCAAAAGCTGCAAACAAATTGATAACATACTCACCTCCCTTCCCTTTGGAAAACTGACTTTCTTAATTCCTTGATTCATACAGTTTCATCAGTTTGGACAAATGGGTTTGGAGGATAATAAAAAAATGTTTATGCCCAAGTTTGAAACCTATTCTCCTTAAAAGATCTCCTCCTTTTGTCTCCCCTACCCCTTTTTCACTATTCAGGGATTTCTCCCTCAACAGTGTGCTAAGATCAGAAATCCAGTATCTGATTCAGGCAGGAGCAATAGAGGAGTTTCCAAGGGAGTTCAGAAATCAGGGATTTTACTCAAACTGTTTCACAGGATATTACATGTGAGGAAGCTCCACACTTAAGTCAGGAAGTTCTGGTTCTGTATGTTGACTGTAGCCTCATGTTATCCTTCCCTTTCAGCCCTAGATTGGTTTGTAGCTCTCAATCTAAAGGATACATATTTCTAGAAGATCAAATCACTGCAAATATCTCTACTATTGATCATGACTATTTTCAATACAAGGTCTTAACTTTTGGCCTTTCTACCACTTGTAGGGATTTTACAAAGTTCCTCTTTGTAGTAGGAGCTTGTCTTGAGACAATAGGGTATCTACACAAAAGAATTAATGGACACAAATCTGACATCAGGAATCATAATACTCAAAAAACAGTGGGAGAACACTTTAACCTGTCTGGTCATTCAATGTCAGACCTGCGGGTGGCTATCTTCAAAAACAGACTCCAACGAGAGACTGCTGAGCTGGAATTGATATGCAAACTAGACACAATCAACTCAGGATTGAATAAGAACTGGGAATGGCTGAGCCATTACAAACATTGAATCTATCTCCCCATGTAGGTATT